CGTTCTCTATTCCCATAAGGTTTGTTTTCTGCTCGTCTCCACTCTCTCCACTCACAAGGTTTCTGTGGGGACCGCATGAGTTGGAGCTTCTTTGCCCTCTGGCTTCCAGTTGGGTTTGGCCAATAGGAGACATAAGTAGGAGACTCACAGGCTGTGGGAGTAGAAGGAGGTCAAGGTCTTTATTCCACCCACTCTCAGTCTCTCTGTACCAGGCCATGTGTTGGCAGTGCTGTATTCCCTTACCAAAGGCTACAACTCCTGTTAGAAGACTCTCTCCTACAACAACAGTTCTGCTCCCTCCCCTTGCACCTCGAGGCCTGGAGTTGGTAATGGTTCTCCATTGGACCTAGCCCCAGCGTTTCAGGATACCTTCTGGATTTCTCTCCCCACAGCCCAAAACTGTGCTAATTGTTCCCTCCCTGACCTATCTTCAGTCATCTCTTTGAGCGCCATCTGTTTCCTGCTTGTACCCTAATAGTACAGCTTATATGTGTTTTTATAATTTAGGAACTTCTGCTGTCCTTGGTAAGAACACCCACCTGCCCTAGTCTTCAGACACAAGCTTTGAGAGGAGTTGACTTTATCTAGGGGTAGGTATGTGCCTCAGCTCTGGCCAATCCAAGCACTGTATCCCCTGTTTTCAGTGACTGGTTCAGAGCACAGCATGGATCCCAAACCAGCCCAGCACACTGGCTGCCTGCACTGGGGAAGAGAAGCTCTCTTCCTTTCTCTGGTTCTCCAACTTGAGAGTGTGTGGGCCTAGAGATGCTGGCTGATACCTTGCCTTTATGTGGATCTCAAGAATGAAGTCAACACAGAAGAGCAAAGCCATGCCCTGAAAAGAGGTCCTATATTAATCACACTATTTAAGCCCCTAAATCAAGCCATCCCCAGAGTCCAATCTACTCCTGGGTTTTCTCTTCCTGCATCCTCTTTTTGCTTAGCCCATTGTGGGCTGGATTCTCTGTCACTTGCAACCAAGAGCCATAATGGATAGAGAAATATTCCAAACTCATGTTTTCCACAAGCAAGCAGAAATCAACTCTAGATAACTTAAGCTAAAAAAGAAAGAAAGAATAGAAATTTGGGGGAGGGATGTAGAATGGCTCACAGAACCAAAGGAAAAGCAGAAAAATTAGGTCTTGGAAAGGATGTGTACCAGAGTTCACCCCTTGGGGATTCAGATAGGAGGAATGAGTGGACAGTCACCAGAGCAGCCTTGGAATAAACCAGTGGTAACCATCTAGAGTGCTTGGGTCACTTCACTCCAGATTCAGATGAGCTTGGGCAGAGGGTAGAGTGTCCCTTTAGCCCTACTTGAGACTCGTGCCCAACCCTTGTCTACAGGAGGGCAGGACCCCTGGACTGATAATCTCACTAAGAATGTATAAGTTGGGGCTGTGTAATTCCCCCAAAGCAAAATCTGTTTTAAGCAGTTGGTGCATACTAACTCATTTTAGTACTCAGAGTAGCCCTTTGATATAGGTACTGTTACTACCATCCTTATTTTACAGATGAGGAAATGGACACACAGAGAGGTTAAGTAACTTGCCCATGGTCACACAGCTGGTAAGTGATAGAGTGGGGATGAAAACCCGGGCAGCCTGGCTCCAGAGTCTGTATGTGTAACCCACTACACTGTAGGGCTTCTCCAGAAGAAAGTGGAACGAAGGGTGGACAAAAACACAAGGTCCCCTGCAGGTAATGCTCAAGGGAGGAATTACCGGGGAACTTCCACTCTCTCAGTATCATTTTTTTTTTTTAAGCCACCATGTATTAACAGGAAGAGAAAAAAGATAACAGATTTCTATTTTGGAAATTAAAAAAAAAAAAAAGTCCTCCTTAGCCAATAAGGGAGAGGGAAGGAGCCCAAAGCTGGTGATCTCACTCTCTCCCAGCCATAAAGGCTGTGAAATATCTAGGACCCAGGGGAATTCTAGCTGTCACCAGGCTGCACTAGCCAGGGCTGAGGAAACCCAGGGAGTTAGGGAGGTGTTATCCATCATAAAGGCCTTGTCCCTACCCAACAGTGAGGAATGTTAGCATTTGGTGAAGCAGACGGAAGGGGCCATTGTCTGCAGTCCTCTGCCCTCATCAAAACCCTACTGGGTTTCCCCCTCTGTGCCCCCATCTTGGGTTCTCCCACACAAGCACGCTGCTCCAGGCAGCCTGCTCTGCCCTCCTCACTCTGCAGGGGTAGGGCCCACTCCTTCAACAACATGGGACAGGTGTTGTCAAGGCTCCAAGCCTGAGAATAGCAAGGCCACAGCATAAGTCCCCGAACTTAAATCTCATTCTTTGGGATTGGCTTTTAGCTGCAGGAAGTGGAAACCCTGACTACCTCTTCCTAGGAACACAGATCAGTCGGTGGTAAGAGTGTGGATTCTGGAATCAGACCTGGATGGGTATCCCAACTCTGTTGCTAATGACCTATATGAAATAAAGTCATGCTGCCCGGGCTGAAATTCAGTCCCCAGGCCTGGTACAGCTGAGCTGGTTGAGAAAAACATCAAAATACTTCCAGACTGATTGGAAATAGAGAACCACAGGCCTTGGGCTCCCCACCCCATCCCTAGCTTCTCTCCTATTTCCCTTGATCCAGTAGCTGAAGTGCTAGCTCTTGGCAGAACAGAGACCTACTAAGTCTTTGGTCTAGCACTAAGGCCAGCATCCACTTTGATTGATCATGCTCCTGTCTGAATGGACTGTTAGGTATTTTAAAAAAAAATATTTTATTTATTTATTTGACAGAGAGAGATATCACAAGTAAGCAGAGAGGCAGGCAGAGAGAGAGAGGAGGAAGCAGGCTCCCCGCTGAGCAGAGAGCCCGACTAGGGACCTAAGCTGAAGGCAGAAGCTTAACCCACTGAGCCACCCAGGCGCCCCCAGCTGTTGTTGTTTTAAACATCAAACCTAAAGGCAGATGCAGGGTCAAGATCAAGTTCTCAAGTCTTAGAGCAGGTGAGATGGGTTTTGACTGGAAGCTCAGGAACAGTCAGTCACTGGGCTCGAGATGATTCATGGGCGAGGTTGCCTGGGTCCTCTGTCTTGCTTCACCAACTGCCCCTTGCACGGACCTTGCATGCTGATGGCTGGGTGGGGGATGGGGAAGTCGGGAGCAGCCACACTCTAGCCCTCTTGCAGTTCAGGGGAGCTTCTTTTTGTTCTCACAGTTACCAGCTCTACTATGACAGCTACTGCTGGAATCCCAAGTCTTGACCACCTCAGAGTCAGAGAAGCTGCTCACCAGAAGTTGAGCTTTGCCTTTCCCGTGGCTTGGAGGGTCCGAAAAAGAACATTCTAATCCAAGGTCTCTGCACTTAAGGACTTGAAAGATCTTCAAGAGAGGCAGTATTGTTTTCTGGCTAGGCGGGCGGGTCCTGGAGCCAGACTGCTTGGTTTCAAATCCCAGCCCTGCAGCTTTACTAGCTTTGTGAGCTCCGGCGAGTCACTTAAGCGCTCTGAGCCTCAACTTCCTTATCTGTTAAATGGGAGTCATAATAGTACCCGCTTCATTGTGAACATGGGGGAGTTCTTGCCTATCTCTAGGTCCCCAGGGCCCACAGCAGAGAAGGTGCTCGGGAAATGACACTGTCAGGGCTTTCAAAGCCCTGTCCCCGTGAATCATCAACCAAGGGGTCAGGATGTGCCAGCTAACTGGAGGCCTAAGTAGTGCTGTCATCCTGTGGGGACCACCAGAGAGAAGACAGCCTGCAGCCCGAAGAATGGGACTGCAAAACGAGTTCCAGAGGGAATGGGACCTAAATGGGTTCCTAAAAAAAATATCCTCCGGTTCCTCCCCCACGGAGCCTGGTCCAGGAATTTTGAGGATCAGCCTTGGCTGACCTATCCTCATTCCCCATCACCCGGCCCATTTCAACTTTTGCTCTTTTGGCGGAAGCTCCGCCCCTCCTTTAGAATTCCAGCTCCCATTCGACCAATCTCCAGAAGCCCCGCCTCACTTTTTTGACAGATGCCTCGAAGTCCCTCCCCTGCACATGGCCCAGTCCGAGAGATACCCGCTCCTATCCCCCGCCCCTCAGCGCCCCCCTCCAACCCCCAGTTTGGAATAAAAGAGTTCCTTCCCACAGCCTTGGTTCAGGACCTCTCAGCTGCCAGAGCAGCTAGGGCAACCTGGCCGGGCTTTGGGGAGACCCCCAAGTGCAGGGAAGAGGTGTTCCCGCGGCCCTGAAACCTTCCAGACCCACTCAGTGTAAACCGCCACGGGTTTGTGTCAACATCCGAGGCCGGAGACTGGCGGCGTCTGGGGACCGGCTCCGTCTGCGGGACGGGAAGATGAGAGGGTGGGGAAAGGAGGGTCCGTGGGATAGGCAGAGGGACTTTCTGGAGGCGATCCCGAGAGGCCTGCTGGGGGTCCATGAGCACCAAGCAAGGCCCGTCTGGAGAGGATCGGAATTAAGGGCTGTAGGGAAAGCACGAGGAGCCTGGGGCCAGGTAGAAGTGGGGCGCTTCGCCATCCGTGCTGCGCTCTCCGCGCAGTCCCACGGCGGCAGCGCAGTGGGTGTGTTGCGGAGGCGGCGAGAAGCCGACTACCCCAACTCTTCCCTCCCCCCCTCAGCTACTCCGCAGCTCCTCGTCGCCCTCCTCCGATTTCGGGTGGGACATGGAGGGGGTCACATCTTGTGACTCATCCTCTCTTCCATCCCCACCCCCGTCTGGGGCCCTGGGAGGGAAGGCTTAGAGACTCGGCTGTGGCTCTCCCGTTTCCACAGCAACCGTGCGGTTGTTTTTGCGAATCCACTTCAATCATCACTTTTCGCCCCAGACTGCGGCCCGGGGTCTGAGCCCTAGGGCGGGGTACCGAGGGGAGCACAGCCCTCCCCCTTCCTCGCGACTCGGAGAAGGTCAGCGCGGGCGGGCGGGGCGCGCTCCGACAGCGGGGCCTCACTGGTCATCCAGTCCCCACCTGAAACCCCGCCTGCCACTCCGCCCCAGCGGAGCCAATCAACGCCCGATTTGCTCGGGATTAGGCGGGGCTTATGCAAATCCTGTCGCCTCCGAGAGACAGAGTGATACAAGAGCTGGGAGGCGGCTCCGGTGCGGACCTCGGAGAGCCCGGCCGCCAGTCCGCGAGCCAGTCTCGGTCCCCGCGGCCCGCCGAGGCTCAGAGCCATCCTGCGACCCGGCGAGCGGCCTCAGGTAACGCGGGCGGGGCCGGGCAGAGGCCCTTGTCCCCTCCCCCTCTACTCTCCATTCCCATTCTCCTCTCCTGCTCCGCTCATTCATCCTTGACCCCTGGTTCCCCCCATAGGCGGCAGCATCTGGAGGGCCGCCCCTGGGCAGGGGACTCCCACCCCAGTCCAGGCCCCATGGGTCCCAGGGAAGGGGGACCAGCCGCCTCCTTACCCCCAGCTCAGGTAAGAACACCCACTGCTCTGGCCCCCCAACACACTCACACATACACATCTGGGGGTGTGGTGTTGCTGGTGCTTGAGGAGGCACCAATCACCCTTCCCCTTTGGAGATGGGTAATTTGCCCAGCATCATGTCAACCTCCTACCTCCACAGATAGCCCCCACCCACACATCCGGTCCCCCCAGCAGCTCCCTGTGCACTTCACACCACAAGGCCGCTGCCCACAAAGACAGCTTCCACCTCCACAGAGAGCCTACTCCCACTTCACACTGTCCCCTCCGACTGTCCCCACCTCCCACCCTTCAAGCTGACGGAGCTCACAGCATATCTGGAAAAGGAAAGAGGTGCCCCCTCCCCCAGTTCTCCTCCTCACATTCTCTAATCAGCAGAACCACCCCACATGGTCCCAGGGCTAGGAGAAGCCCCATGCTTGGCTTCTTTCATCCTGGCTGGAGGATGAACCAGGGGCACCACCCCCCAGCACAACTGTCCGTCAGTGTTGCCAAGGTCCCAGACTTCCCCTTTCCCCTCACCACTGACAGGCACCAAGTTCTCTCACTCTACTTCTCAAACACTTCTAATTTGGATCCTCTCTGGCCTTCTTGCGCCCAGTCACTCCTGCTCTGCTATCTTCCCGCTGTTCCACAAGGACCTGCCAAAGCTCCATATGGACTGTGTCACTCCTTTCCCTAAGGTGGCCTGAATCTGGAAGGCAGAAGAGATGGGTTAAATCTTGCCTTTGCCTCAGCTGCTGTTTGCCTTTGGCCAAGCCACTTCCCTCTCTGATCCTTCATGAAATGGGGAAGGGGCAGGACAGAGGGTGGACTGGATGAGATGGTCTTGAATTGCCTTCCAACCCTGACGTGCTCTGGTTCCGTGGCTGATTATGAGCAAATGGGACCGTTTCACACTTGCCTGAACTGTTAGGACATTTCAGAGAAGAGGCCTGAGTGGCGTTAGTCCTCACCAAGGGGACTTACTTCTTACTCAGACCTACCCCTCCTACATGTTCTCCAGGCCCAGACCCCTTCTCAGCTGTTGGGAGTCCCTCCCAGACCACCAGCCCATGTGGCATGGACAATTCTGCCGTGGAGGTGGTCACTATGGCCTACATCTTGTTTATCATGCCCTGCCCCTCATTAAGGACAGGGAGAAGACCTGGCTGCTGCCGCTATGGCTGCTGCTTGGAGAAGAAAGAGCAAAGGGAGGAGAGGAAAGAGAAAATCTCCTGACCAGGGAGCTGTTGTCACTATGGCAACCGTCTCAGCACCAGCTCCTCTGAAGCTGGCTGAGGATGTGGGATTATTGCCTCCCTCAATCCCTCCCACCCTCACCGCCTCTTCCTCATTTGAAACTCAGGACCCTGAGCTCTGCCCTCTGGAAGAAGCCTCTGAGCACAGAGGGGCCGTGGCTTTGTGTATGAGGCAACGCCATCTCCTTCACAGCTGGAGGGTAGCCCGCAAGCGGTAGGCAAGAAGCCTGCCCATGTCCAGCAGGGCCACAGCTCCAACAGAGCACGCCATGCCCCCAAGGCCTTTACCTTGCTACTGTGGTTGGCCTTGGGCAAACCCTTCCTTTCCTGGGTTGGAGTTCCATGGTCTCTGAAGTGGGTGCAATGGCAGGAGAACACAGATAAACAAGAAAGCCCGACGCCATTCCGAGGAGGAAGAAGGGGGTTCTGCTCCTCTCATGGAACCCACCAAGAGACATTCATTGAACATCTCTGTGTTCCAGACATGGCCTTTGGGTCTCTGCAGGCAGTTCTGTGCAGCCACAGAGGGGAGAGTGGGATCGGTGTGGAGCAGCTACAAGAGGGCAAACCTCAATGATGGGAAAAATGCTTTTCTCACTCTCTGAGCTGCCCCAAAGCGGACTTGGTTATAGGGGGATAAGCTCTTTGCCATTGAGAAAAAGGCTTGAAGGACTTTTTTTTTTTTTGGCTTGGACCAAGGCTTAATTCAAAGATCTCTTCCAAATCAGGTTTCATTCTGGAATTCTAGAGCATCGGGTGAGGGTCAGAGAGTTCTGGAGTCTACACACTTGTGGGGCTCAGTTTCACAGCCCTCAAATGCTGAATCCATGCTGCTGACTGTCCACTGTCCAGGCTGGGAGAGGCTGATCATAAGGAAGTGGGCTTCAGCCAGGCCTGAAGGCTGAAGAGAGCTGCATTAGCCCAGATGGGAGGAAGGGATATTAGGGGAAGGGAAAGCAGCTATGCAATAGGGACGTAGATCCTGGCTGGATGAAGACTAACTGGAAAGCATATAGTTGTGAGGGGAGCAGTGGGAGGTAAGGCTAGACAGGTGGGCACCTTGATGCCAGATTCTAGAGGATTCTAGAGTGTGAGGGGCCTAATGGGCATGTCCACCTCTAGCCTATATTTTCTGGGCAAAACCAGATATGACATTGTCTCAGAACACAGAAGTCAGAAGAAAGGCACTCCCTCTGATACCACTGAACTCATGGGCATGCCTTAGGCTGCAGTGTAGGACCTCAGCCTGTCAGCTGTGCCCCTGGCCCTGACTATGGGGAGAGAGAAGACATGGTGAAGGTTCTAGAAACACTTGAAAAGAAAGAACAACAAGACCTGGTACCAGCTGGACCTAGGGAAAAGGAAGAGGGGAAACTAAAGGTAACTAAGATTGCATTTCGGCCCTGGGGCAAGGGAGGGAAGGAAGGAAGGGCTGATGGAGAGGGAAGATGGCCACAGGTTGCGGGTGTCTGATTGTAGATGAGAAGAGTCAGAGGAGATGTTGGGCCATTCCAAGGGATGGATGTTTCCTAGATGTCAGATATGGTGGCCTGAAGCTTGGTGGGATGGTCCCCCTAAGGCCAAGAGGGAGATCAGAGCTAGGGTTTTCCCAGAAGGCAGGCAGGAGTGGGGAAAGTCTGTACTGGACAAGAGTAGCATGATTTGGAGAGGGTCCAGGCGGGTGGCATGGACTCCGCCTGGGTGCTCATCTGGACTATTCTACTGACCGGCTGTGTAACTCTGAGCCAGTTTTCTCCTTTCTCAGGGTTCCAGTTTCCACTAAAATAAGGGAATATCTTGAAGCGACTGCCAACTTTGACTGGCAATGTAAGAACAATAGAGGAAATGAAGAGGGAGATAGAGTCTCCAGTGGGCCTGGGACCAGATTTGGGCTGGGAATGTGACCCCAGGACATAGAGAATTGTGGGAAGGGAGCACAGGACAGGGAGGAGGAAAAGGGTGAAAGAAAAGCCACACAGACACCATGATACACACACGTACACACACACACACACACACACACACACACACACACACACACACACACGTGCTCTGGCAGATACGCAATCTCATAAACTGACGTGCTCCCACCCACATCCAGCCCCTGACACAGACACTCGGGCATGTCCCCCAGGAGAATGCTAGAGAGATTTCACTCCCCCTACTGGACACCTCTCTCTCTGGGTTCTCCAGCTTCCTTGACTATACCCCAAGACTTCAGTGTGCTTTGCACTTGGGGATGGATCAACAGAGGAGGAAATCTGTCTTCTGCCCGTAGGTGTCCCAGAGTCATCCTTGCACCTAATGTGGCTATTTTGGACTGCACATTCCAGGTTCCTGAAGATAGCATACCTCCCTCCCCACCGGCTTCTCTCTTCCTCCCGGGAGCATGGAGGAGACCTCATGCTCTGGGGGTAGTGAGTGGGGGAGGATGTTGCTACTCCCGTTGCTGCTTGATCTTCCTTGTGGCCCAGTGGAGGAGGCCCAGAGATATCCTATGACTAACTTGAAGCCATGGAGCAAGGGAGGGGGTGTGGCAGAGACCCAGCTCAGGTCTGGTTGTTTGGGGCCCTCCTAGCAGTAAGGATTAGAAGCCACACTGGCAGGTGGTGGGCTATGGATGTGGAATTCCTTCTGCTAACCTGATGGTTTCCTTTTCCAAGGTATCTTTATGACAGGCTATCCTGCGGCCGGGGTCTGATGCCCTTCCAAAAAGACTAGACAGGTCAAAGTTACCTCCAGGGCCATGTCCTAGGAAACTCAGGCCCTGGAGGGATATTCCTCCCATGGAGGTCAGACAAAAGTGCCCACCTTGAGGGCCTGGCAGGGCCTCACTCCTGATGCATCCTGGGGAGTTCCTGTACCTCTCTGCAAAAACTGCCTCTGTCACAGGCCACATGAAGGGGCTTCTGTTCCCGTGGGGGACTGACTCTTCATCCTCCCCAAACCTGCTTCTCAACACTACCACTTCTGTCCATTCAGCCCCAAATCTAAGCATCTGCCTCAACTTCTCTGTCCCTCTCACCCCCACATTCGGTCACCAAGCCCTGCTGATGCCCCTCCTAACACATCTCCATCCATCCATGTCACTCCACAGCCTCTGCCCTAGTGTCACCATCTCTCGCCTGAACTATGCAGCTTGCCTCTCTCTGCTCTCTACTTGCCCCCGCTCAGGCCATCTTGTACATTGTAGCCAAAGGAAAAATTCTAAAATACTTTCCTTCTCTCTCATCCCAGCATCTAGTTCAGGATCTGCCACATAAGCATTCTGTGTTTGTGGACTGAGTGCTATCTTCCTAGCCTTTGCTTTAAAATCCCTAGGGGGATGGGGGGGTGCCTGGGTGGCTCAGTGGGTTACAGCCTCTGCCTTCGGCTCAGGTCATGATCCCAGGGTCCTGGGATAGAGCCCCACAACGGGCTGTCTGCTCCGTGGGGAGCTTCCTCCTCTCTCTCTGCCTGCCTCTCTGCCTACTTGTGATCTCTGTCTGTCAAAAAAATAAATAAAATCTTTTAAAAAAATCCCTATGGGTATAAGCCAAGCTCCTTGGCAGGGATTGAAGGGCCTTCACAATCAGCCAGCTACCTCTTTGGCCCAATTATGAGTTATTGAAGGTTGGCCCATATTTCCTTTATCCCCATCACTGGCACGGGACCTGGCACACACAGTCAGCCTCAGTAAAGGCTCAGGTAATGAATGACTAATGAAAAGCAGGATGAGTCAAGGTCATCAGTGCTATCAGCTAGGACTTCTCTTTGTACAGAGGACGGAGAGAGAGAAGCTGCCTGCTGGGATGGCCCGGAAAGCCTTGGGGAAGAACTTGTGAGATGGTGCCAGGGGGTACACGAGGGACCTTCCTCAGGTCCCAGGGCAGAGAAGAGCCTGCAGAGGCGGGTGGGGGCCAGGGGCCGAAAGCTCTAGCAAGGAGAGGATTAAGACTTTCACAGTGGGGTGGGGTGCTCTGCCAGGTATACACAGGAGAGGGAGGATGAAGACTGAGGCATCCGCGCTGGTCGGGGAGAAGGAGGGGAGCTGAGACCCGGGGAGTGGAGATCCTAGGAGCCAGGAGAGGAAACCTGTGTGAGGAGAGAGGAGGGGCTGCTGCGGAGAGTAGAGACCCTGCCATTGGGGAGTTTGATGGGGGAAGGGACCCCCTCCCGTGTGCGGGGAGGGAGACAGGACCTCTTATGAAGGGGTGTGAAGGACAGGGCCTAGTTGTAGGAAAGTGAGCTTGTTGAGGATAGTGAAGACAGGAGGGAACCCACCCTGCTGTGGAAGGAGGGATCCTGGCGGTGGGAACGTGAGGCCTGTTATGGGAGGGGTCGTTGTGGAGAAAGGGAGCCCTGTCCTCTGGGGACTTGGGGGGCCGCTGCTGAGTTGAGGGCTTTGCCCTGAACCAAACTGAGGGAGCCCATGTCCCCCAGGCCCTGCCATGGGGAAGACCAACAGCAAGCTGGCCCCGGAGGTGCTGGAGGACCTGGTTCAGAACACCGAGTTCAGCGAACAGGAGCTGAAGCAGTGGTACAAGGGCTTCCTGAAGGACTGCCCCAGCGGCATCCTCAACCTGGAGGAATTCCAGCAGCTGTACATCAAGGTGGGCGGGCAGGGCGACCGGGGGCGGGGCCAGGGAACCCCAGGGGGCGGGCCGGGCGGGTGTGGGCGGGGTCAGGCCATCTAGGGAGCTCGCCGGACGGCCAGGGGGCGTGGCCACGCAATCGCAGAGACCGGCAGAGACCGCGAGGCTGTGGCTTCCCCCCAACGTCCGGTTCACCCCTCAGTTCTTTCCCTACGGCGACGCCTCCAAGTTTGCGCAGCACGCTTTCCGCACCTTCGACAAGAACGGCGACGGCACCATCGACTTCCGGGAGTTCATCTGTGCCCTTTCGGTCACCTCTCGCGGCAGCTTCGAGCAGAAACTCAACTGGGCCTTTGAGATGTACGACCTAGACGGCGACGGGCGCATCACGCGCCTGGAGATGCTGGAGATCATCGAGGTGAGCGGGGGTGAATGCGGGAGGCCAGGTTGTGCTGGGGTGATGCCCCTCCTATCTTCGTGGCGGGTCCTCTCCAACCCTCCCCAGGCACCCTACTGTCAGGCCTCAGAAGTGTCCTGGCTGTACTCCGCCTGTCCCCGCCTCCTGCCTGCCAGGACCCAGTGGCTAACTAGCATTGGTTGGGTGCGTAGTGTAGGACAAGCCTTGTGCTAAGTGCTTTACCCAGCAACCCTATGGAGTAGGTACTGACAGAAACCCCATTTTACATAGGAGGAAACGTAGTGTAATGGTTCTTGAGTCAAATCCAAGGACTCTTGACTCCAGAGCCCAGGTTTCTAATTCATTTTTTTTTTAAATATTTTATTTGACAGAGAGAGATCACAAGTGGAGAGAGAGAGAGAGAGAGAGAGAGGAAGAAGCAGGCTCCCTGCCTAGCAGAGAGCCTGATGTGGGACTCGATCCCAGGACCCTGAGATCATGACCCGAGCTGAAGGCAGAGGCTTAACCCACTGAGCCACCCAGGCAGCCCTCTAATTCATTATTTTTTCAACAAATATATATTGAGTGCCTACTGTGTGCCAGGCAAAGTTCTGTTTTATTAGGACACTCATTCTATAGTGAGAAGATTTTATTTTATTTTTTAAAAAAGATTTTATTTGATAGAGAGAAAGAGAGAGCCAGAGAGAGCACAAGCAGGGAGGAGAGGGAGAAGCAGACCCCCTCCGAGCAGGGAGCCTGATGCAGGGCTCCATCCCAGGACCCTGGGACCACAACATGAGCCAAAAGCAGTCACCCAACCGACTAAGCCACCCAGGCACCCCAAAACAGTGAGAAGGTTTTATTTTTATTTTTATTTTTTTAAAGATTTTATTTATTTATTTGACAGAGATCACAAGTAGACAGAGAGGCAGGCAGAGAGAGAGAGACAGAGGAGGAAGCAGGCTCCCTGCCGAGCAGAGAGCCCGATGTGGGGCTCGATCACAGGACCCTGGGATCATGACCTGAGCTGAAGGCAGAGGCTTTAACCCACTGAGCCACCCAGGTGCCCCGTGAGAAGGTTTTAAAACAAGAAAACAACCTGTGCTATGTCAAGAAGTAAGTGTTACGAAGAAGATATGGGAAGCTGAGTAAGGGGAGTGAGAGCAATGGAGAAGTCTATGGGGTGAAATTTGAGCATCAACCTGAATAAGGTGAGGGAGCCAATCATGTAAATGCCTGGGGGAACAGTGTTCTATGCAGAGGGAACAGTAAATGCAAAGACACTGAGGTGAGATTATGTTTGCAGTGTTCAAGGAGTAGCCAGGAGGTGAGTGTGGTACGAGAGAAGTGAGTGAGGGGAGAGTGGTAGGAAGCGGTCAGGTAGGCAGCCAGGAACCCAATCACTTAGCATCTCACAGTCTGTCTTAGAGATTTGACTTTATTCTGAGTGAGATGGGAAGCCATTTACAGCGCTCTGTTCTCTGTGTGGAGAACAGACTAAGGGCACAGGAAGGCAGAAGCAAGGAGACCAGTTAGGATGCGTCCACGGCAGGCCAGTCAGGAGCTGATGGAAACAGCAACTCTGGGGGAGTAGCGGAAATGGTTGGATACAGGACCTGTTGCAAAATTTGAGCTGACAAGAGTTGCTGAAAGATTGGACATGAGGGAGAGTCAAGAATGGCGTCAGGGTTTTTGGTCTGAACCAGAAGGATGAATTTGCTATTTACTGAGACTGGGAATGCTGGGGGAAGAGCAGGCTGGAGGTGAAGAGTTGGGTTGTAGACATGTGTGATATGAGATACCCATTAAATATTCAGTCTTAATGACCATACATTACCTTCAGTATCCTTGCCATCTCCCATGTTCTCCCTGCCCATCCCCCAACCCCCTTCATTCACCCCTGATCATTCCTGCCCACTGTGAGTGTTCACAGTTCCCCCCTTGCCCCCCACCCCTACCAGGCTATCTACAAGATGGTGGGTACTGTGATCATGATGCGCATGAACCAGGATGGGCTCACACCCCAGCAGCGTGTGGACAAGATCTTCAAGAAGATGGACCAGGATAAGGACGACCAGATCACACTGGAGGAGTTCAAGGAGGCGGCCAAGAGTGACCCGTCCATTGTGCTGCTGCTGCAGTGTGACATGCAGAAGTAGAGGCTGGTGAGGGGCAGGGCCCCTGGCCAGGAGGGGCGTGGCCACCTCCCAACCTGATGACCTCTCAGGTGGAGGGGTACTCTAGCCTCACTCTCTGGCCCACCCACTCCTCTGCCCAAGCCCTTGCTCCCCTCAGTTGAGATCCTGGAGGGACCACCTCACCCTGGAAAAGAGACAGATCCTCAGGTATTCTGTGGTCTAGCCCCACCCCGTCTTGGCCCAGAACCAGCATCCTCTGGGCACAGGGAGATGGCTTTTGCCCTAAGAGGCAGGATCGAGGAAAGGGGGCTGCAGGTCTGCTTTGAAATTCTGTTCTTTCTAGGATTACACTTTACAAGATGTGATCTCACAGATCCCAGTTAAAGGGCCAAAGTGGGTCTGTCCTTTGCTGAGGACCTAAATTCCTTGAAGGTGGTCTCTGCCCTGCCCCCTTGACTCTACCTGGCCCCTCCGGCCCCAGCCTGTGGAGCGTTCGTTCATTCCTTTCTTCACCTAACGTTTATTGAGCACCTGTTCAATGCCAGGCATCTCTGGGTGCTAAGGTTATGGTAGTTTACAAGACACATTCTGTGCCCTCTGGAAGCTCATAAGGGAAGAGAGGCAAACGTCTAGTGGTCAGAGTCTCAGATGGGAGCATGGCACACAGCTGAGCAGAGGGCGTGCTGAGGCCAGTTAGTTTGAAAGGAACCATGAAATATCTTCCACTCACCTCTACCCGGAGCTGCAGAGGGATGAAATGGAAGGTATTCAGAAGTCTAGGAACAGTTGTGAGTGGAAGGTTTAAGAAACACTGATATTTGTGTAATACTTATTTTTTTAGTACCCTATAAAAGAGCTAAAGTCATTTTATTAGTTTAGGATTTTAAAACATACTTTATATTACTTGGTTTCTTGTAAAATGATTAAATGAATATAGAAAATGCTAACTTGGGGGGTGGTGGGGAGGGAGAGCTGAGAAAAAATGAGGGAAAATACCAGCAAACTTACCAAATAACACCTCTTATCAGACTAAGTCATGAGGCGTCCCCATCAGCAGCTTCTGCTGCTTCCTTTTTCATGACCTTTTTCAACTCGGTGGGCAGCTCTCTCATCGTGCACTTGCTCTGGCTGGATGCTGACTGCGGAAACAGAAAAAAACAAGGTTTGCTAAGAGTGAACAAGTGTATCTTCTACATCTTGGTAGTTCCTTTCTGGATTTGGTCTTGTTTCAAGGATGGGCTTGTTCTTTCTGCTACCGAAGCAGAAGGAGCTAGAAGAAGAGAACCACCCAGCCACTGTTTAGGTTGCCAGACTGCATTTATGGACCAAATGCCTCAAGTGCTGGGGACGTGCTCCATTTGCAAGGCTCTTCCTAACCCCAAATCCTCACTGTGCCAGGTAAATTCGTTCATCTTCCAGGTGTACTGGCTTTGCTTTCTGCTTTTCTGATTTTGGGTCAGTGAGCTGTACAGCTGCATGCTTTGATTGCCAGAAAACTAATCTTGCTTCTTCAAGCCTTTCACTTTATTTTCTCCTGTACTTGTGATCAGAAATTAGCTTTGATGTGCAGTGGCAGATTTCCTCTTGAGCTGCTGGTGAAAACAGTCTTGTACACAGGTGCTGTCAGCCCAGGGTAGGAGCAGGGAATGATTGCTGAGTCAGCGGGGTGGGATTGTATCTCTGGGAAAGAGGAAAGGCATGCCTCTTCTGGGGGCTCACCTGTCCTCCCTCTCTGCAAGTGGAAGCTCTTGGGGCTGCTGACCTTTGGTCCCAAGCTCTATTGGACCTTCCTTCTTGCTGCCCTTGAAGGTAGCAAGGCCACTTAGTTGCCACTCTCTTTCTGTCTTATGCCTATGACCAGCCATGTGGTGAGGCTGGGAATTTACATCCTCAGGCAGGAATCAGCAGGTTTTTATCCAGTAATGCCTCAAGGAATGTTCATTGCCCTGAGGAGCGGGTCATTAGGCGTATCTTGTGCTACTAGTCAGCACCACAGATACATAGATACTCAACTGCTTGGCTGAGCTGAGATTGCCAGACTTTTTACCAAGTGGGGTTCCCATCTCCCAAACGTTGACTCTAACCTGACTTACAATCGCACAGAACTTCACGGCTTTCAGAGGCTTGCTTGATCTACTCAATCACATTGTATCCTCTGGCCTGGGGAAATAGAGATTTTCATTCCCTTTCTCCAGACTTGGGAAGTGAGGCACAGAAAGGGGGGCTCCCCTTGTGCAAGGAAGGAGGCACAGGCCAGGACTTGAACCCAAGGCTTTAAGAGGGTTTCTTCCTTCAGAGTCTCTCCCTTCTCATCTCTCTGACTCCGAGTCATACCAAGTTGACTGTGGGGCAAACTAAGTTAGTTTTGGTCTTTGACAAGCTTCCTGCTAAGAAGTTTCTGAGGCGGTGGTCTTCCAAAAAGAAATAGGATCTTGGTTGAACTCCTGACATTTTCAAGCATCTTGTTGTCTGCTTCTGGGCAGCTCTGCCAACAGGTCAGTGCTGTCCTGGGATGCCTCTGACTCAGCACCCTGGAAGCATCTTGCTCTATCTTTACCACCATATTCCTCCCTAAGAGAACTGTTTCTGTTTTTCTCCAGCAGGTGGGCAAGTCCTATCTGTGAGAGCATGTTTGATCATTCCAAGATTTGGACATATCCCATGGCCAAAGATTCACACCCAGTGGTGTGAACACATAAAGCCAGGCTGGGAACCAAGACCACCATCCTGTTGATGAGAGGAGACACAGGCAGGCCAGACCTTGCTCCCACATGCTTCTGGATGTCCCAGGGACTGTGTGCTCAGGGGCTCCTGTGGTCGAGCACTGGCCCTCCCTTGAGAAGAGAGGCAGGCCTCTGATCTCTGTGCCAGCTCTGAGGGACTTGCCATAGAGCACATGGTAAGGAGACATTGAATTATGACTGACAGAGACACAAAAATATACAGACAGTGAAAACAATTATATATTCAAACTCTCCTTTTGAAGTTTTATATCTTCTTGCAGCAAGTCTGTATAAGTCTGAATTTAAAAAGTTCTAGAATCTACCTCCTAACCGCATTCTGTCCTTCATCCTTTTGGACTAACTGATGAGCCGCTTATTTCTTATCTCTAAAAACCATCAGCAAGGTCCACTTCAGATGGCTGCTCTGGTCCTTTCAGCTGTAGTCAGGGTTCTATAACTTACCTTTAAATCAAAAGTTAAGAAGATGGAAGCCCATAAGCAAAGGCACTTAATCTTTTACTGACAGTTTCTAGAGGTAGAAATTCATCCTGCTACAGAGAGAGAGAGAAGGAGGCAAGGGAAGAGAAAGGAAAGAGAATGAGAGAACAAGCTGGGGTTTCTACACAGGGTAGTAAGCTGACACTGTAGATATTTTTACACAAAAACTTACTAAAACAACAATTTTCCTGAAGATCTGCCCTGGGTGAGGTTTTGTTCTGACTTTAGAGATCACTGTGGAAGAAAGAATACAGTTCTTATGTATTTTATTTATCATTTTTGAAAAAAAAGTCCTTCAAATCCTATAATTGTGAAGAAGTCTCAGAAAAATATGGAATTTTCTTTCTGAAATTTTCAAGGTTTTTCTTTTACCTTTGCTAGAAGGTGGGGCAGAACTGGGCCTCCCAGGGCATGTGGCCCTTCCTGCTTGGTGGAGGCTGTGGGGGTGTGGAGGCCTGGGGGAAAGGGGGAGCTGGGTGCCAGAGGGGGCCATCCCAACTCATTCTCTAGTGTGGCCCCTGTCCCTTTCACATGTGCTGCTCCTGGCTGTGGCTGCAGAGACTGTCTTCACTGTTCAACCCTGTGCTGTATGGTGTGTTTGTCACTGACCGTGAATAAAGGTGTGACCATGCTGAGGGCTCTTGCTCTTCCATAAGCTGAGGTAGCCCTAGGGTACAAGACAGGGGGAGAAGAAGCCTAGAGGGAGCTCAACAGTTGGGGGTGCCTCAGGAACCTCCTTGGGCCTGAGGGCCTTGTTCTAGCAAGGACTCTGGTTATGTGGAACAGAGACCCACTTGAGCTAGTTCAGAGAAAGGGGTGAGCAGATTACAAGGGACCCTGAAGAGGGAAAATCAAGAATGGCTTGGCCTCAGAAGGACTGGAACCGACAATAGGGCCTCACCCTTCTCCTTTCTGGGCCTTTCAGACTCTCCTACCCTCGGCGATATTTGCATCGGTGTTCTTTTCCTCGGTTTCTCTTCAGACTTCCTTGGTTTCCCTGCAAAAGTGGCTGCTTCCCCAACTCTGTATCAAGACTTCCCAGCAGGGGACAAGTCCCCACTGCGCCAGTTAGTTCCAGTTCTCAAGCAAAAGAATCTGACTGGTTGAGCTTAGCTTACGGTGGGAGCCCTTGGTCCATTCATCAATGACCACACCAGGTGCTGATACATGGGCCTGTGGGCAGAGCAGTTTCCCCAGAAGGGAGCCAATGGCAGACACCATTGGATGTAGTTTCTCCCTCCGTCCAGTGGAAGGCGTCATAGAGCCCCAAGGAGTGAATAGTGGGGAGTGGGGAGAAAGGCCAAGAGCCAGGATTACAATTAATCAAGCTATATGGTGCCCTTTGTGCAAATTAGGAAAAGACACCCCTTCTGGGTGTAAACAGCCTCCTAAGAACACAGCTGGGCCAGTGGATGGCACCTTTGGCCTAATGGAAAAGTATACCCGTTCTTCTGAATAAACACAGCCTTGTCACGCCATGGTGAGTGGCTTGGCAAGTGAAGCATATCTTGAATTTCAGTCCCACCTGCCCTGTTGGTGGAGGGTGCAGTGCGTAACCTGTTTCGCCGTCCCCAAGGAGACCAGCCCAGGCCCTGAGACCTTCTGGAATGGAGTTAGTGCTGACGTGTTTTTCTTAGAATACCAACTCCCACCCCCACCCAACCCGGTGGCCAGAGTAGGCCCTGCTTGTTAGAGGGGGCAGGGGCGGCTGGAGGGGACGCCCGCCCCTGAAACACTCAATTGCATTAACAAGGATTTTCTCAAGGACGCTTGGAGAGGGCCAGCTTCCTTGGCAGGAAGCAATTAGGACAGAGGAAGGAGGCTGACCTGCCCTCAGGGCAGCCATAAACCTCTGGAGGTGACTCAAGAGCCTGAGAACTTGGGGCTGCTACTCCCAGCCGAAGCCTTGCTGGGGGAATCGGGAGGCTTGTTCCCTACCTACTTGGGGTGCACAGGTCCGGGTCCCGGGTTACATCCTGAAAAGTACCCTCCTGGCCTTCAGCACCTCTGACACAGATTGGTCTGCCTCCTGCTTTCAGGCTTGCCCTCCATGCCATCCAGGTGTCCCCAGGAATCAGAGTGATCTTCCTGAAGTGCAAGTTTGATAGTGTCAACGCTCTGAAATCTCCACTCTTCCCTCAGTGTGATAAGCTTCCTAAGAGTCCCTTAAGGCGTGACCTTAAGGCCTGGGTGACCCAGTCGGTTAAGCATCTGCCTTGGGCTCAGGTCATGATCCCAGGGTCCTGGGATTGAGCCCCGCATTGGGCTCCCTGCTCAGTGGGGAGTCTGCTTCTCGCTCTCCCTCCCCCCTGCTCATCCTCTTTCTCTCTTAAATAAATAAATAAAATCTTTAAAAGAGAGAGAGAGAGAGAGAGAGTCTCTCAAGGTCCAACAGGATCTGCTTGCCACCAGTTGACCTCCGAAGACTTTTCCTCCCCTACCTCCCCAACCTCCCCATCCTTCACCCTGCACTTGGCCTCCTCTTACTGCCCTCCATTTCCCTAAGGTATCTCTCATGCTTCTGTGCTGGTGTGCAAGCCATCGCCTCTCCCTGAGCCCCCATTCCCTATCTCAATGATGTCCTTCCCTGTGAAGCCTTCCTAAAGCTCAAACAATGACCCCTCTTTTGAACACAGTCCATGATAGCTACCAAACAGTTTCCCATGGGATTGCCTGTCAGCTCCAGTTTCCAGTTTAAAGAAACTGGAAGCCGAGTCTCCAGTTTAAAAAAAAAAAAAAAAATGCAAGGAAATAAAGGCTCGGGGAATGGCAAGACTACAACTTGAACTTGGGTCTTCTAACATCAAGCCTACTGCTTATTGTGCTGTCTGTGTGGGGGAAGGGGGGAGCAGAGAAGGGTGAAGGAAGCCTTCATGGAGTAGGTGGCGTCTGCCCCAGGTCTTGCTAAAGACCAGCCAACAGGGCCAGGCATGCTGGGGCGGGGCTGGCCAGATGAGCAGTTCAGGTGCGGGGATCCTGGAGTCATGTGCAGAGGGGTGTGTTCCCGGCTTATCCAGCTGCAGAAGAGCTGAACCCTGAGGTTCAGGTTCAGCTGAACCTTGAAGTGCTGGCTCAAGTTCAGCAATGCAGAGCCAGGGAATCCCTGCACCAAGCCTGTGGTCGGAGGAGGCAGAGAAGGTAGAGACAATGGCCAGAAGCCTAATAGGGTGGAAAGAACAGTCTAGGATTGAGTTAGAACCCTTTCAAAGAGGGATCTAGGGAGAATTCTTAAAGGAACTGAACCCAGAGTCAGACAGGATCCTTAGACAGAGGCTTAGTCATGTCCTTCTAGATTGGTTGAGATTTTTGGTTTCGAGGGAACGAAACCCAATTCAGACAAGCTCAAGAAAAAAGGGAGACTTATTGGCTCCTATAATTGGGAATTTGGGCACTGCTGGGGCCAGAGGCTCAGTGTTACATCCTCTCTTCCTCTCTCCACTTCTGCTTCTCTACCTCTGTGACCTCGCCGTCTGCTCTGGATGGGCTTCTCCCACGTTCTTTTGCCTGCCACAGGGAAAGATGGGTTCCCAGCTCTCGCTGCCCCAAATTAATAACCCCAGAGAAGAGCCAAATCTCCCAGCAACCCTAAATAAGAGCACAGGCAGGTGGCTCAGCTGGGGTCCCAGGCTCTTTCCTTGTTCAACTGCTATGTCCAGGGAAATAGGGTTTCCGATTGGTCAGGTCTGGTCACATGCTTACTCCTGTGACTGGGGAGGCCAGGCTCCTTAACTACAACTACACTTGAACAATGCAGGGATTAGAGGCACTGACCACTGCCTACCACCGAACATTCAAAAAACACACGTATACATTTGGACTCCCCCCAAACTTCATTCTTACAGCCTACAGTTGATGGAAAGCGTTACTGAGAACTAGTGGATGAACACAGATTTTGTATGTTATATGCATTATACGCTGTATTCTTACAGTAAAGTAAGCCAGAGAAAGGAAACTGTTTTAAGAAAACCATAAAGAAGAGAAAATACATTTATGGTACTATACGTGTATTTACTGAATAATTTATTTCAACGTATTTATTGAAAAAGTCTGCATTTAAGTGGACTCACGCACTTCAAACCCATCTTTTCCAAAGGATAGCTGTAGGAGAAGTGGGTGGGAAGGGTTGCTAGTCAGACAAAACCAGTAGCCACCAACTTTGGCGGGGGGCATTAGTTGAAGTGATGTGGAGAATCTCACGGGACTTTAGTGATGAACATTATTCCCCCGCCTCAGCTGGAGACTTGGGAAGCTGTCTGGACCAGAGGCAGCTCCCTGCCAAGGCAGCATGGTCTCTCTTTCAGGGGATCGATACTGCCCTCTGCACAGCTTTTTCCATCTTTCTCTGCTGATTGGCTAATTCTGCTTATAGAGTTTTTGCCCCCTCTTACCCTCATGTTGCACATGGCCGCAGCCTGCTGAGGCTCACCCAGATCTCTGTCCAAGTCACATTGCCAGAGGGTAGGCAGACTGGAGAGCGTTTGGGGCCATCTATGGAAACTATCAAGTCTGGAGAAGAAACATACTTACCCTGATCCCAAATTTTGTTATTATTTCCCCCTTCCTCCCACACAAGCTTTGGTTGGTCCCCTCAGGACATGGTGGAGGCTGGGCACATCTTTCCATTCTGTACCCCCTTCCAGCCAGATGCCTTCCAGGCTAAGCCAGTATGTTCTCCTGCTGCTCCCACCCACCTGTGCAGACTTCTAGGCTCACACAGAGATGTCCTTTGTCTGCTTCCTGACCTGTACTCCGGGACAGGTGGCATTAGTGGCTGCACCCCGGGCTCTGCACCAAGAGGGGACAGTGCCCTGGAACTCCAGGATGGTGGTCCAATAGACTTTGGTACCAAGCTCCTTTTCTACCCTCCCTCTGCAGGTGGACCTTGTGACCGTGAGCCCCCTACTGGTCGTCAAGGGGCCAGCAAGAACCTGGGTTCAGAGTCCCTGGGTGTCTTCCTGGTGTGGGTCCCCGGCCAGGCTGTGGGGACCTGGTTTCGTCACCGACTTTAAAGGTCCTTCCGTCTTGGGAATAGCTGCCCATCCGGGCCGTCAATTGTGCGCCCGGCTAGGAGCAGAATCCAGCTCAAGGGCGGAGCTGTCCATCCACAGCCACCTCTCCCTCCGCAGAACCGACTAAGGTCTGCCAGTCGGATTCCCAGGGTCCTGGCACCGGAGGGGGTAGCGGCCGCCGGCTAGCTTTTGGCGGGGAGGAGGCTAGCTTTTCATTTTTTCCTTTAAGGATCATCATTCTTGGGGGGAAAAGTTGTCAGGCTTCTTCTCTCTCTAGGCGCCTTTGAGCACCAGCCAAGAACACGATCCCCGAAATCCCGAATCCGCGGCAGCGCGCAAGCCCAGCTTCAGGGCCCGTGCTCCTGGGAGCCCGAAAGGCCAAACCCTCCCCAGTCACCACCCCCTACCCCCACATTCACTTGGGGACTCAGCTGCCGCCTCGCCCCACCACAGGACACATCCAACATCAGCAACCCGCCCGCAGTGGAGAACGGGTGTAACAAACCCCCGCCCACGCCCACCCCCACCCCCACCCCCAGCGGCTCGCGCGCGCACACTCCCCGCGCGGCCCGCCCCCTTCTCACGCCCGGGCCGCGCCTCCCTGCTGCAGCCCATTCCTGTCAGCGCCGCGTCCCCGCCGCCGCCAGCTCGGGCCGGCAGGGTGGCAGCCGGATCATGGAAGCCGGGGAGCTCCGGGAGCCCCGCGAGCCCGGGCCGGGGGCAGAGACCGCGGCGTCCCGGTGCTGGGAGGAGACCAAGACTTTCTACGAAAACCTCGCGCCCAAGAAGAAACCCAAATCGGTAACGGCAGGGCCTGGGTACGGAGGGAGGGCAGGGGCCACCGAAGGAGGGTCGTAAGCCCTCTGGAGAGGGACCCGTGGCAGGCCTCCAGGAGGGGACGCAGCTCCTTAGCACCAGAATGTGCCGGGCCCTTGGCACCGGCTCGCGTTTATTTTGGGAGCTCTGCGCCGGTGTTTTTTTCCCCCGGGCTCGGGTTCCACGCCAGGAACCCCCCCCCCCCTCCCCCATGCTGTCCTCAGGGCCCAGTTCCTCCGAGAGCCCGCAGCCAGGGGCTCGCGGACAGCACTTGTTGGCACAGCGGGTCAGCGGCGCCTGCCCAAGCGCCCTGGGCTGGGGTAACCTGACCCTGGAAACCCGGCTCCTCGTTGTGCGCTCAGGTCCCTGCCATCTGGGGCATCCGGATCCGGACCTGAGAGTCTGCGTTCGGGCTCTGGCTCACGGCCCTGGGCTGTGGGCTCCGGGGGCTGCGCTGTCCGCGTCCTAAGGGAAGGGAGCTGCACTGGGATCTTCGCCCTACGTTCAGGGCTCCCCACGCTGGACTTTGCGCCACAGCTCCGGGTTCTGGTCCCGTCGCAGTGGGCATCAACATCTCCGTGACTCCGGTGGTGGTCTGGAAGACTCATACAGTGAGGAGAGCTCCTCTTCCCATCGGACAGATTCCTGATGTCCCCGCTGTCCCCTGGGCCTTGCTCATTGCTGCTTCCCAGATCTCAGAGCTTGGGAAGGGGACTGAACGGAGGTTGGCCCAGAGGCATCCTCCAAAAGGTTCCAGCCTGACCTTAAAGCATCCTGCTGCTTCCCTCCAAGAGCCCTTCCACAGGAGGCCCACCCTATCAACAGTCATTCCCTGCAGCATCTCCAGGTCCTGCTTGCTCAGCAGTGGGACTGAGAGATGAATTTGGTTGAGTCCCTGCCTCAGGAGCCCACCGTGCACTGAGGGAGACTTTTGAGGGAGACCCTGGCCAGGGTGAGTGTTCAGATGAAAGACCCTACATGGTCCAGAGGGAGCATACAGGAGTGAGAGACTGCCCGCTAAGGAAGGCTTTGCAGACACAGACTAAGAAAGGCTTTGCAGACGCAGCGCTTGAGCTCAGCTTAAAGGCTGAGTAGGCAGCATTTCCCAGCCAGACTGGGAAACAGGATGAGCAAATGGCTTGAGGACGTCTTTGATACTGAGTGGGAGAAGGCAGGATCCTTGGGAGATACATAGGTGGGGTGCCAGAGACCCACATAGGGCCTTGAATGCCATACTCAGGAGCCTGGGTAGTCAGTGGGGTTAGGGGTTTTAAAACCAGGTTCCACTGGGGCCCTATGTTTCTGGAGGTCTGCACACATACAGATCTAATTTATTTTCTTTTTTTTTCCACCTACCTCTTAAACAATTAAATGTGTAATAAAGCTCAATTCACTCAAATGTGTTATGTGGACATCTTGGCACCTTCAGTACCACCAACATACTAATTTAATGCTGTAGGTTGATTAGTTGTTGTTTTGTTTTGTTTTGTTTTGTTTTTGTTTTTTTGTTTGTCTTTTGGTTTCTCGTTAGCAAACCTCAAGACAAAGCTTTCCCTGGGAACTGTTTTATCTTGAGTTTGCTGGTAATTATTCTTGCTGAGTATCTTGAGGCTCATATTTTAACAGAAAACAAATTTTTTTTGCCATTTGCAACCACTTATTGATGGGACTCAGGACTTTCTAATACTGTGCACAAACCAATCAAACACAGGAACAAATTAACTAGGAGATGACGTTTAAGTCTGCACTGACAGCCTAATTCCTAGGTTCAAATTTATCACTTACACAACCGTGCTGTTTCCATTGGTTGACATTATAAGAAATAGATCATGTACAGGTTAATACATTGGAATCAAAAAGTAAACTAGTAAAGTAATTGTATGCTAATAAACTATAGTACTAGCTGATTTACATATTGGGGTTCTGCCCAGGAGTTCATGGAAATAAAAGGTCAACCTACCTTTTTAAAAGTATGAAAACCATTTTTCAGCAGGATATTAACTGGTCCCATTTCATTTGAGCGCGATCACTCTGGGCTGCTTGGGGGATGGACGGGAGACAGTGAGTCCAGCAGCAAGCAGACCAAGGAGGAGGCTGGTCCCTGCCTGAGGGGGAACCTTGACTAATCTCATGGCCATGGCTCAGGAGATGGACACTGGGGCTGGAGTGGCGAGTAGAGCCTCATCAATACATCTCCCCCTCAAAGACCATGGAGCCAGGGAGCTCAGGCCTAGTTGTCAGTCGTGACCCCTGACGCCTCACAGGCCTCTGGGAGGTAAGGGGCCTGGCAGCCTCCCAGCCTCTACTCCTTTCTGCAGTAGCCCCTCCTCCTACAAGCTATTTTGAGGGCTTTAGGCCTCCTGGGTCCCATTAGAGCCTAATCTCATTCCCAGGAGGCTGAGTGAAATATTTAAGCCCTGAAGGCCCAGAGGAGCCCCTCACCTCATGGGGTCAGAGGACTCCTCAGTCCAGACCTATCTTGTCCCTCTCTCCTCCAGCAGCTCTTCTCCCAGTAAGACTGTTTGGAAAGAACAGCTTTTGGCTGTGTTCCCTACTTGGGCCCAACAGGCAGAATCATGTCGGTCTAAATGAGAGCTCCTCGGGCAGGCTGGCTCTCCTCCATTAATCCCCCACCTGCCCCCCAGCACCAGTGGAAGGCAGAGAACTGGCAGGACCCTAGCTCCTTGGAGCCCATTGTTCCCAGGCTGAGTCCCCTGTCTAGGACAAGGGTCCCCCTGACCCATTTCCCAGTTTGGAATTGGGACTTCTTTCTGTGTTCTGGAGGAACAGTTTGTTCCTAGCCATGCCTAACAACACATGAAGGGGTGGTCTCCCTCTGCAGCTAGGCCCAGGGGTGTCTCCAAGTGTTTGGCTTCTCCCCAGCTCTGGCCAGCCCTTTACCTGTCCCTTCAACTCTACTGGAGCCTGGAGAGGCTGCTCTTTCTGTATCTCTCACAGCAGTTCACGCCCTCTGGGCCCCAAGACCCTACCCTCCTGTTCAGTGTGAGAGCAGGTGGAGCTGGTGGAAAGGTTCTTCCCTGGGGATCCCCATTCTGAGGAGAAAGAGAGCCCTGCGGCTTAGAAACCTCAGTCTGGGGGCATGGTGTTCCCCCACCATTTCTCCCAAATCTGGAAGGGGAGGACTCCCTGGGGCAAGTGTCCCAAGGAAGTGGCTGAAATGGAAGGGGCTGGGGTCATCTGGAAGCTATCCAGGAAGGGTATATGCGGGGCAGGGGCAGTTGCTGCTCTGTGGACAGAGGCCAGGTTAGAGGCCAGAGCCTAGGGATCTTACCTACCTGGATCTGCCTTGACTTTGCTGTGTGACCTAGAGTGATACTCTGTCCATCTCTGAGTCTACTTGCCCATTTTTAAAAGAAGGAAGTGGAGACTCCTAGGGCCAAGACAACCAGGATATCTTTCTTGTGATGGCCAGAAATGGGATGGGAGGGGGTGGGGTCTGAGCAGCTCAACCAGAGGGGACCCAGAATGAAGAAGACTGGCAGGGACTGTGGGACAGCAAGAAAGGAGTGAGACCTTGGCTGGCTGCCTTGGCTGGAGTGGCTGGCTTGGGAACCTGCCTGAAGGGGCCAGGAGGGCAGCTGGCTCTCTGTCCTTGATGGGGTGTTGGGCCTGTCCCTGGGAAAGTAAGCCCAGCAGGTGGGGCAAACTCAGTCTCCATTCTGAAGGCCAGTAGGCTTCCTGGGTTTATGAGAGTGGTCTCCGCAACCCCCCAACCCCACCCACACTTACCATCCCTGGCCATCCCTCTATCCTTTGCTTTTGCTTTCCCTTCTTTCCTTGAAAGCTCACAGTTGCCAAGGGGGCTGGGAGGTCCCCAACCCGTGATCACACAAACAGGGGTGGCTGGCAACTGGGAGAGTACCTGGGTTGAGTCCCCAGAAGAGGCACCTGTCCTGCCTGCCACCGCCTTTCCCTGACCCCGCTGGCTGGATACACCATCTTTGTTGGGGTCAAAGTCAAAGGCAAACTGAGACTTACTGCATGTGCTTAGGGAACTCTTTGGTCTTCCATTTACTGCTTTGAGGTTTAAAGCTTCATTAGCCACTAGCCATTCATAGCTACTCAAATGTAAATTGATTAAAATTAAACACAATTAGAAATCCCATTCCTCAGTCTCGATAGTCACATTGCAAGCAACTGAACGTGTCTGTTCTCACAGAAAGTTCTAATGGATAATGCTCTTCGAAAGGATGGCACAAATCTCTGCTTAGGGACAGATGGTAAGCTCTGTGGGGGCAGGGATCCTGTCTGTGTTGTTTCCTGCCATGTCCCCAGCAGTGCCTGTCACATGGTAATCACTCACTGTTACCCACTGATTGGGTCCCAGGCTTGATTCCAGAAAGAAGCAGTGGAGTTGGGTACGTGGCCTGCAATGCTATCAGAAGCAGGCCCGAATTTGAGGTCCATTTATGAGTGTTGCCCCCATCTTGAGCCTCTGTTTCCTCACATGCAAAGTGGGAGTCACCCCCACATTCTGATCCTCCCCAGGGATTCTTAAGGGTCCAGCTGCTGTCTCTCTCTATTCCACTGAGGGTGGTGAAGGAGTTCTGAGGCCCTCCTGGGCCTTGGGGAAGGCCTCCTAGCACCTGCCCACTCTTCTGGGCTTATCGGCGCTCACGCCCCCTGCCCTGGGCTCTGCTCACCTCTGTGAATGCACTGCGTACTTGCTCACTTCCTGATACCTTCCTTTACCTGATTCCTCCTTCCGGGCTGGCTGCACACAAATGCCTCCTCTCCCGTGACAGCCTACTGTGAACCCGTCATCAAGACTCTGCTTTCCCCTCTGTCCTATCACTCATGCCAGCCCCTTTTGTGTCTCTGTTTACCTGCCTTTCTTCCTTATCAGCAGGTGATTCTGAGGGCAGGAGCCCTGTGGCTGCCAGGACCACTTCCCAGGCAGAGCCCAGGGACCTGGCACAAAGAACCAGTAAATGTTTGTAAAATTTGCATCAACCAAAAACAAACAAACAAACAAACAAACAATACAATAGAGCACCTATAGAAATCTCGGAGCCCATTCTTGGAGCACCTACTGCATGTCAAGCAATCTGAACAGAAGGGTATTGTCCTAGAGTTTCTAGGTCACGTTAAATCTGTCATAGCAAATACTGTTTCTCATTGAAATAGATTATGTGAGAGTTCAGGAGCATTATAAATTTACTGAGCATCTACTAGGTGCTGGGCACAATTTTAAGCACTATAGATACTCTGAATGAACACGATAGTTCTGGCTAATGTTCCCTCCAAACTTAAGCATGGTCCCTGTTTCCTCCCCAGGAGTCTGTCTAGAAATAGAAATAGATAAATAAGCAATTAAGGCCATGCTACATTTAATTAAAAAAGGAAATCTATGGGAGAGGTAGCAAACCTATGACTAGGAGCAGGAAAGGTCTTCCTGCAGGGGACACGTAGTTTGAAACCTGCAGGTTGAGGGGAAGTTAGCTAGATGAAGAGCCAGGCAGAGGGCACATCATGTGCAAAGGCTCAGGGACAGACAGGAAACGATACTCAGACATGAGAAAGGTCAGATCGAGCAAAGCTGGATAGCAGAAAGTTGACAGTGTGAAGAGATAGGCATCTGTCTCCAAGGGCTTCCTACTCCATACTCAAGGCTGTGGAACAGAGTTTGAGAGGAGCAGTTACCACTGAAAGGGGGAGGAACATCATCAGATGTGAACTTGAGAACACCCCCTAACAACGATATGGATGACCTAGGATGGGAGATGGTGATGGACTGGACTCTGGCAGGGAGGGCACAGAGAAGTGGATGGATTCTATAGAGTTGAAAGGTTTGGGTGATTGATTGATTGATTGATTGGTGTAGAGAAGGGAGTTGAGGAGTGGTGAGGACTTGAGGTTGACTTCTGGATTTTGGCCTCAGCGTTGAGTCTATGGTGGTGCTGAGCATTGAGACGAGGAGGCAGATGGGAGACGAGGTTTGGAGGTGCAGGCGGTGGTGGGAATCCAAACTTGGGCATGTTAAGTTTGAGTGTCTGTTAGTCAACTGGGGCAATGAGATATATCAGCCTGGATCTCAGGAGAAAGATCTGGGCTGGAGATGAATTTTCTTACATAACTGCCATGTTTCTGGGCACCATTGCTTCCTACAGGGCATGTAGCTCTCATGTTATAATGGAAATCATCTGGAGACCATCTCGAGCATCAGTCACACTCTGGCTACAGGCACTGTATTCATATTTCCATTGTGTCCAGATGGCCCACGAGATTGCACACTCCCTGAAGGCATGTCCTCCCACTGGATTATGCTTCTTGGCAGGGAGCCCCCGTCTCCCTCAGGTCCTGGCTGGGTCCTGCATGGAAGGGGTCCTGACCCAGGTCTGCCCCTGCCCAAAGCTGGGCACCCAGAGAGGCTGGCACGGGAGACCTGCTTCAGAGAGTGGGAGTAACAGCCCTCCTCCTGCACCTCCACAGCCCAAGCCTCAGAATGCTGTCACCATTGCTGTGTCCTCCCGAGCCTTGTTCCGCATGGACGAGGAGCAGCGCATCTACACGGAGCAGGGCGTGGAGGAGTATGTACGCTACCAGCTGGAGCACGAGAACGAGCCCTTCAGCCCAGGGCCAGCCTTCCCTTTTGTGAAGGTGGGTGCCATACAGTGCTTTTGTGGGGATTAGAAAAAAAGCCCTCCTGGGTTTGAATAAGGAAAGGGGGCCTCCTCTGGGTAGATGCCAGCCTGCAGGAACACGGCTTGACAAGGGGACAGAGCCATCGTGGGAAGAAGCCTCCCTGTCCCCTGCGCTAATGCAACCCCACTCCAGGTCACTAGCTCGGTGAGTGGAGCTGGGCAGGATTTCGGCCCCCACTCACCCTGCATGGAGGTGCCCCTGTGCAAATAGCAGCCAGCACAATCAGCCAGAGGTTAGGATGAGACAGTCCACGTCCACAGCCAGCCCTTGACCATCCCTCTCCGCCCCCATTAGATCCCAGCTCACTCCTCCTCCCCAACGCTGGCTACCAACTCCAGATGTCAGTCCCTGGGGTTCTGAGCAGGAGGGTCCCCTCTCCTATCCAGGCTCTGGAGGCTGTGAACAGGAGGCTGCGGGAGCTGTACCCCGATAGTGAGGACATCTTTGATATCGTCCTCGTGACCAACAACCACGCTCAAGTGGGTGTCCGTCTGATCAACAGTATCAACCACTACGGTGAGCGTCAGAGGTTTGGCCGTGGGACACGCCTACTGGATGTTTGCGGATGGGGCCACTCCTTTGGGGAGGGGGTAGGTAATACCAGCTAGAACCTGAAGCCCAGAGGTATGCCGGTAATCTTGTTCCTCAAGAAAACAAAACAAACCAAAAGAAAAAAACAACAACAAAAACCCTGATTGTAACATAGTCATCTTAGGGTGTGAATATCCCTCCGTGCCTGATTTCAAGTTCTCTACAGTTGTACACGCTAACTGGCTCAAAAAAAAAAAAAAAAAAAAAAAAAAAAATCCCTGAATGTTTAACCTTTGGCTCCTGCAAGCTGGTGCAGGCCAGCGCCAGCACACCACTGCATAGGCCCTGTTGTATTGGGCAGGGCACCTGCTGCCTCTGTGCCTCAGTTTCTCTATCGTCAACTGGGCTCACAGGCCTTACAAGGCTGCTAGGAGAAGCAGGTGCAATTGTCAGAGTGAAGGGACTTTGTGTCTTAGTCCAAACTCTTTTTTTTTTTTTTTAAAGATTTTATTTATTTATTTGACAGATCACAAGTAGGCAGAGAGGCAGGCAGAGAGGAGGAAGCAGGCTCCCCAGTGAGCAGAGAGCCTGATGCGGGGCTTGATCCCAGGACCCTGAGACCATGACCTGAGCTGAAGGCAGAGGCTTAACCCACTGAGCCACCCAGGCGCCCCTTAATCCAAACTCTTGATTGAAAGTAACACACCCTCCAGAGCTAGCCTACGCTGAAGAGAATTTTATTGGGTTAAAAGGATGTCTGTTAGAACTATAGGGCAGGAAGTAAAACTGGGCCCAGAGCAGCCTGAATCCAAGTACTGGAAATCTCTCCTGGGCTTTTTCTCTCTGGGCCAGGTGAGCCCCTATTTCTGCTTCTCTCAGCATGTCTGTTTCCAGCCCCTCCCTCTACCCACATCTCTCTTCCCCAACTCAGTCTCTTTGCTTTTCCTGAATATGGCCAAAATTTATACGTTTACAAATCCTTGTTTTAAGCAACCAACAGAGTTTGGTGGCATTTTCGTAATCCTCATTTCAAATTACTGGGAGCAGAATGATACTCAAAATATTTAACTACCTCAGGACACAGGCACGGAGTGATCAAGAGACACCAGCCGTAGTACCAGAGCAGGGCCCTGAAGGGCCCCTGCTGCGCCAGGAATTAGGCCTTCTGTTGTGGATTGTCCTGCATGAGGGGCTGGGGTAGTAGTGATGGAGTGACTCAGTAGGCCCAGAGCAGCGGCCTCTTGCCAACCGGCAAATCCACTCCAGCCGCTGCGCGCAGGGGTACTGGGTGACCATCAGCCCGGGCTTGGAGAGGATCTGATCCGTCCAGCTTGGGTCAGGTGTCCGCCCCTATCCAATCAGCTACGGCCAAGGAGGGCCGCCTCTGGCTAGACACCCACCTTACGTAGTAGTAGTGTGATTATCTGACAAGAGGACATTACCGTGGGCCAGGCGGTCACTCCTGGTTAGTCATCCATATTTCATGGGTGAAGGATGGAAGGGGAAGGGTGGCCTACAATCACTCCGAGAATCGCTCTGCTGCCTCATCACCACTCAGAGCCAAGATGGAACCCACTGGACACGGAGGGACCCCTCTGAGGCCCTGAGGGTTGATTCAGGCATCACCTAGGTGCTCTCTGCCTCCTCCCCAGACCTGTTCATTGAGCGGTTCTGCATGACAGGTGGGAATAGCCCCATCTGCTACCTCAAGGCCTATCACACCAACCTCTACTTGTCAGCTGATGCGGAGAAAGTGCGGGAAGCCATTGATGAAGGTCAGTCATGCTGGGGAGGGAGAATGTGGGGAGTCTGACAAAAGGGTTGCAGAGGTTGGAGGGGAGGGGGCTGGCCCTAAAGCTCTAAGTAGATGCTAGGGGTTACTATGGTAATTGGAAAGGGAGTGCCTTCCTTAATTCCTGTGACCTGTCAGGTAAACTGAGAATAAGGCCCACCTGTTCCACTGATTGCCCTTCTATTCCACTCTCCCACCTTCCGCCCTCCCGTGGTAAGGATGCCTTTACTCACCAGCATCCCCCAGCCTTCTCTTCCCATGGAAACCCTCCTTACAGCCTGGAAGGCTACTCACTTTTAAGAACCCTCCAGGTTGGTAGTTCTGATGCCTGTGTGACCAGAAGCAGCCTTTGCCTCCCGTCTGGGCCAGTGGGGAGGAAGGTCAGTATCTAGTTCCTCCTGAGCCCTGGGGTCTGGGAAGCAGCTGGCATTTCAGCAGCCGGCCTGGCCAGTGCTGGGGTGAGGTTAGGAGACCCAGCCGCAAGGACTGACAAAGAGAATCTCCCTCCGTGGGTCTCTGTCAAGGGACAGTTTAGGGTTAAACTGTGGGAACCTTATATTCCACAGTCCTGGTTCTCTGGACACGGTGTGTATCCCTGTTCTCATGGAAGAAAACAGGCCCACAGGGGAGGAAGGACTGCCGCACTGCCCACGCGGGCTCCTCAGGCCGAACACTCCCGGCAGGTTTCACTATCAACCAGCAATATATTCACTGTTTTTTTTTTTTTTTAAGATTTTTAAAAATTTATTTTTGCGCACGCAAGAGAGAGCACATGCGAGAGAGAGATAGCACCCACGAGAGAGAGAGAGAGCGCACGCGAGTGAGCACAGGTAGGGGGAAAGGCCAGAGAAAGAAGCAGACTCTCCCCTGAGCAAGGAGCCCTATGTGGGACTCCATCCCAGAACCCTGGGATCATAACCGGAGCCACCCAGGTGCCCTACTTTTTTTTTTTTTTTTTTTTTTTAATATCCACTGTTCTCTCCCTCTTTCATGCTGTCTCCTGCCTAGAAGCCTGGCCTCTAACCTCGCAATGCCTCACTCCTCTGTGTTGCTTTGGGCTGCAAGAGGCTTTCTTTAACCAGAAACCAGAAGCGATTTCCCTAGGCGGATGGCACACCCTCTGGTTGGGCCCTTGGCACTGGCCTGAGTGCGTGCCTCTCCACATCTGTAATTTGAGTGCCTGATAGCAAGCAGGGGATGGTCAGGAGGGAGACCCTGCCCCCAGCTGGGTGGTCCTGGTTCCTCTTGGCTCCCGTGTTGCAGGCGCTGAGAAGGTGCCCGGCCTGATGCCCGGGAGTATCTTCTGGCTGCTGAAGTTGCCGGGAGCCTGACACTGCTTTCTCCTCCCAGGACCTCTGCCCTAGCCCAGCCCTTGCGAGCCTGGAGTTCCAAGAGCAGAGCTGAAGCAGCCCTTGGGAGATGACCAGTAGAGAACAGACCCCCAGGCCTCCAGCCTCCTAGCATTGGCTCTCTGCTGCCCAGTGCAGCTCCAGTCTGGGGCCTGGGCTCCCACGGGCATCCTTGACTCCTGGAGAAGCCCAGGGTTGCAGAGTCTGTACATGGTCAGATGGCATTGGTACTGCCCTTTTTGGTCACCAACATTGCCTCAAGGAACCCTGGGTAGGGTATACCTGGGGCCATTGTGGCAGTGAACTGGGGGCAGTGAACCCGTATACTTCAGCCTGGGATTCCAGCTCCAGAGCTTGAACACCCTTAATTCTACCTTGGTCCAGAGAGGGTGTTAATTACTTGCAGGAATCAACAGTAGAGAGTAACTGAGGCCAGGCCAGCCCAGCCCCACCGTGCCTGTGAGGATCTGCTAGAAGGACAGCAGTGGCCTGGGGGACACTTCCTTCCGGTCAGGATTGACATTCAGCTGGTCCAAACCAGCGTGACCTTACTAGATTTTAAGGAATTGAAATATCTCCATACTGATTGGTAAACAGTTGTTTTCCTGAGTCCTCTGAGTTACCTCTGTTTCTGGCACCTCCCCCACCCCCGAACTTCCCACAAAGCAGCAACTAAAGGGAAACCCTGACATGGGCCAGGGCCCTCTGAGCCCTCCTCAGAGCAATAGCCGCTGTCCATTCTTATTGACCAGTTTTTAAATATTCTGAGTATGAGCCCCCATTAGTCTTGCCCTGAGTCCTGGGAGAGGCTGGGGCAGGGGGCCAAAGGCAGGGCCCAGGTCTCTGAGGCACGTGTCAGGGGCCCCTATTGCCTAGATGAAGGCAGACAACACTTGCCTCTCTCTGCCTAGGGATCGCAGCGGCCACCATCTTCAGCCCCAGCAGGGACGTGGCTGTGTCCCAGAGCCAGCTGCGCGTGGCCTTCGATGGGGATGCTGTGCTTTTCTCGGATGAGTCGGAACGCATCGTCAAGGCCCACGGGCTGGACAGGTTCTTTGAGCATGAGAAGGCCCACGAGAACAAACCTTTGGCCCAGGTGCTGCATATACTCCCCAGAATCCCTGAGAGGAGCCAGGCGGGTGGCCTAAGCTTGCCCTTGGCTGGAACTTCAAGCCCAGAACCAAACCCCAGGCCCAACCCAGAATCCAGACAGTTCCCCTCACCAGGCCTCCAGCCCTCATCCCTCTCACCTGACTCCTGGCCCCCTTAATGTGTTTCTCCACCTTCACTGGCCCTCGTCCCCCTCACTGCAGTCCTATCCTCCACCTTTGAAGCCCCCATTCTCTCTCTAAGCTCCTCTGCCCTCTGAAGCTTCCTTCCTCTTTCTGAAGGCCTCTCACTGTCTCCAAAACTGCCATCTTCTCTCCGGAACCCTCATCCCATCTCTGAGATTTACCCACCCCTCTGAGTAGTCTCCCAGGTCCCAGGTCCTCAAGAAGACCCTGTTTCCCTTACTGGAGGGGAGGAAAATCTGGGCAGCTCCTCAGGGGGGCAGGGAGACCCCATTGGCTGTGGGGTCTGGAGCAACCCACCTGCTTTGGGCCACACCAGCCCTCCTCCCTCCTGCCATCCGTCCCTTGGCCGGGAGGCTTGGGGACACTTCCACTGCTTGGAGTCTCCCTGAGAGTAGAATATGCCAGGAAGCCTGGAGAAAATTTCCTGGGTTTGGAGGTGTTGGGATCCACAGAACTCCTGGGAGATCCTATTTGTGCTTTTAACAAAAGTCTGGGTGTGCAATAATCCCAGAACTCTTTCCCCAAGAGCTCAGCAGGCTTTTAGTGGCAGCTCCCAGATACTCATCTGACTTCTGTTTTTGTGGAGTCCTCCTGAGATCTCTGGAAACCCAGGACAGGACCAGTTTTACTACTAAGCGGTAGCCAGAGGCCCAGGAGACCACTACTTGCTCCAAGTCACCCAGCCAGGGAGGGGTCTCTAAGATTAGAAGCCCACCTGCCCTCATTTCCAGCCACTGATGCAGCTTTCCCCTTCATCAGCATCTGGTTCTTTATTCACACATCCTCCTTCAGCTTTGTTGTTCTGGGCACGGCAGAGAGTCAGTCTTTCCCTTGACCCTAGAGAGCTGGGGTGTGACATCCTGAGCCACCTGTGCCCAATGGGCAGGGTTGATGTTTGGCAGGTACATGTTGGTCTGTCTGTCCCCGTTGTTTGCAGCTGGAATCCATTCTGATTGGAGGGTGCCCATCCCATAGTCACTAAAATATCCTCCCAGCTGATATTGCACAGAAGGGCACACTTACGCAGCTGCATGACAGATAACCACGTACCTACAGGGCATGTAGACAGACATACATAGCAACAGTTGCCCTGGGATGGTTATTCTGACCCAGACAGCCCCAATCACAGCAATATGGATGCCCAGACTGACAGAGGTACCTACAGACCCACGGATGCACACAGTGACCCCAGCAGGTGTAGCAGAGCTGGGAGATTTAGGGGTCTTGAAAAGCTTTCCCACCCCAAACAGCAGGATCCTAGTGCTTTTGGGAGGAGTCCTGCCGGAGAGGGGGCAAATGTTTGGGAGACAGAGGAGCTCATCGTCTTCCCTTGCCTTCTCCTAGGGCCCCTTGAAGGGCTTTCTGGAGGCACTGGGTAGGCTGCAGAAGAAGTTCTACTCCAAGGGCCTGCGGCTGGAGTGCCCAATCCGTACCTACTTGGTGACAGCACGCAGCGCAGCCAGCTCGGGGGCCCGGGCTCTCAAGACCCTGCGCAGCTGGGGCCTGGAGACGGATGAGGCCTTGTTCCTTGCAGGAGCGCCCAAGGGCCCCCTCCTTGAGAAGATCCGCCCACACATCTTCTTCGATGACCAGATGTTCCACGTAGCCGGGGCTCAGGAGATGGGCACGGTGGCCGCCCATGTGCCTTATGGTGTGGCCCAGAAGCCCCGGCCGCCTGCCCCTCTGAAGCCAGCCCCAGCTGCGCAGTGAGCCGCCAGCTTTACTGACTTGCAGGGCTGCGGGCACGGATCCCTGTGTGTATTCCACCCCAACGTCCAGTGGACCCTTCTAGTTCCTCACCGCTCTGTCCTTCTGCACGTCTGCCCTCATCCCCACGAGTGAGGAACTTGTAGGGAATTATGCAGACTGACCCAGCACCCTCCAGAGCCCTCCCACAGGGCAAACACTGTGCCATGATCCCGGCTGGAAGAGTAAGATTGCAGAGTAGCTTGGTTTCGGGGAAGGAGGATGGTGGGTTGATGGGAATGAGGGTGACAGTGTCAGAGGAGCCAGGCTGCCTCCAAGGGGGCTTGGGATGAAGACTAGCTCAGTGCAGTGCAAAGAACTTGGCTTTGAGAGAGAAGGCATCCGGCTTCCAAGCTCTGTGGCGGCATGAACTGACGACTTGGGGTAAGTCCCTCCCTTTCATGGGCCTCAGTTCCCGCATCTTGTAGGTGGTTTTCCATCTCTCTTGGAGATGCATTGGCATGGTTTAATAAGATTGCCCGGCCCAGGGCTGCTGCCAGACCGTAGGGTACCTTTGTGCAATTAGAGGAGAACACTGTCTCGAGAATGAATTTCAAAAAGACGACCCTTGCTCTGCGCTGACCCAGATCCACTCTGGGGTACATGGCTTGCTCAGAAGCACGTAGCCTGTATCTCAGCCCCCACGGACTCCTCGGCTCTGATGTCTTTGTCAAAGGGGCAAAATGCACAGTCGTCTGCAGCAACCTACCTCTCATTCTGCACGTTTGGAAACCACAAGACAAGATGACCTGTCTGCTTCCCATGATCCTCTACTGTGAGTCCCCCGTCGGGGGTCAGCGGCCAGGAGCAGGGTCTGTGGAAGGAGAGAGGAGTGAACTTAACCTGCACGCAAACTCTCCTTCTGCCAGCAGGGGGCACTGCGGGCTCTTCCCCAGGAGGAGCTTTCGGGACCTCCTGCTCTGGGCTTCCTTTGCTTTTGCTTTTAGCCAAAGTTTAGCTGTTCCTGCCTGCCAACCCTCTCCCCTCAGCTCTCAGTCCTTTGGTTACCGTGTTCTACTGTGTTGCCAAGCAGCTTTGCTAGCGGGGAAGAGGTAGAGTGTTGGGGTTCGCTGTCATGGGCCCAAATGCAGGGGAAGAAAGCTCAGTGGCTGAAGTGGGAGGGTGTCCTGTTTGCCCCTGAGAGAAGGCCTGCCCAGGGTGACATGGGCAAATCTGGTCTGAGGCAGTGACCCATTAGACAGGAAGGAGCTGAAAGGTGCACTAGCAAGATCCTCCAGCTATGGGACTATGAGTGGAAGCACTGAGGTCTCTGTCACCGGGATGCTGTGCAAGGGACGCCAGAATGAGGTGACCTCTCCCGGCAGCATGCCAGTGAATCCCCCATTCACAGGAGCCTCTGCAGCCTCTTTGTCACCACTTCTAGGGGAGAACTCTCACTCTTTAATGAGTCTGCTTCTTTTTTTGCTAACGAGCCTGGCTCTCTTTATGAAGGGAGGGTGTGAACAGGGATGGCTGGTCCCTCAGGAAGACCCAGAACAGGTGAGCAGCCATCCGAGAGGGCAGGCGACTGATTATCTGGCTCCTGGGCCATCCCAGCTGTAAGCAAGCACTTTGTGAAGGAAGCCAAAGGCCCCATCATAGGGAGCAGGAGCCTGGAGGTGTGTGTGAGAGAGCTGGACCACTGGTGAGGGCGGGAAAAGGAGGTAAAGGGCTACCTTGGACCTGACCTTTTTCATCTTGTGGACTCAGTGCAGGATCTGAATGGGGACAAGTTCAGGGCAGTGTATGGCAGGGTAGTAGTTGCAGAAAGATAATCCAGGATGGAAGACAAAGTGAGGAGACAGAAGTGTTTCCAAGGTGAGCAATAGTTTGGGCCAGAAGAGGAATGCCAGGCTGGGTTTGCACTCTCCGTGTGTGAAGCTGAGCTGGGGAGCGGGGGAAGGGGGAAGGTCAAGGCCATGCTGAGTTTCTGGGGCAGACCCTGCCGCTGATCACCTTATCACAGGAGGGGCATGTGATGATGACATCTTCGTACAGGTCTTTCAATCCACAGCCAGGATCCATCTGGCCAACAGAGGAGGCCTCAGGGCAGGGGGCCTGGTCTTGAGCTCTTCCCTCTGCTCCAAGCCCAGCCAGAGATACTAGGAGACATAAGAACCACCTCTAGGAAAAAAAGTGAGAGAGGGATTCAGCTTTGATCTTGGCTGAACCATGAAAGGCCCTCTGTCCTTCCCTCAGTCAGAATCACCCCCTTGGATGAGCCTCTAGGGCTCCAAAGCCAGCCAGAGCCATATGCAGCCTGCAAAGCTGGCACAGTTGAGGTTCAAAGAATGGTATTAGTCTGCATGACCAGAACGGGATATGTACATTAGGCACCAGATGGCACCTAATTAAGATAAACCCTAGGGATTCTGGGAACCAAGAGGTCTTGCCTCCAGGACCTAATGATAAACAGCCCTGATTCTTCCAGGTCTTTCAGGAAGCAGAAAAATATGATGCTGGAAGGAGAAAGATAAGGGGCGGTAAAAGCTGTGGATTTCACTGGAGCCACCAGTAATAGACACAGACAGCCCTGGGCAGTGAGAGCCACTGGGATCTGGTTCTGTTATTGAAACCATAAATGAGCATCTCGGGCCTGGAAAAAAGCTTTAGGGGGCCGGAGTAAAAGACAAGAATCCTGGGGGCAGGCGAGGCAGCGGCCAGACACACGTTCTGATTCTTTCCAGTGGTGAGGAGGAACCCCAGGCAAGGAGCATTGTGCATTGGTTCCCCGGGCAAATTGAAATGCCAGGTGAGCACTACAGCCCGTACTGGACTGTGGCACTAGGGCAGGGAATCCCAGCTCCTGAAATGCTGGACCCCTGGAGCCCATAGCTCTGTCCCCCGACAAGTACCCTGAATGCTTCCCAGGAAGTATTTGCCCACGCTGTCCCAGACCCAGGGGAATCTGCCAGTGAGCAGGAAACCAAGCCCTGTTCCTAGGCGCTGGGACTGCAAAGATCATCGCAAAGCTGCTCCCTCCTTTCCCAGGTGCCCAATCAGAATGGTGGGGACGGAGCAGGAAACGCTAGGAGAAACCAAAACCTGTGAGAAGCTCAAACGTGAGATGGATCCGGGATCATAATGATATCCAGCTGGTGTAACTGGTGATTAACACATGGAAATACCTCTATGACAGTTGCGAAATAGCGCTGGCCCAAGCCCCCGAGTGCCCCTCTGTGGCCTCCGCTGCACTGGCCTCCCTCCACTGTGACAATGCCGTCTTCCCACAATTCAGCAAAAGGGGCGTCCGGGAGTCTGTGCTGGCCCAATGGCCATCGTCCACTCTAGTTGCTCGTCTAGAGAGAGTAACTTACCCAGAGTCACTCAGCTGGTGAGTGGCAGCACTGGCAATGAGCCCATGTCTGTCCCTTGGGACCCAGGCTCTCAGCCATTCTGCCATTCAGCCCAGACAGCAAAGAGGCCGCAAGCGAAACTTCGTGACAGAGGAGCTTGCCCACCAGTTAGCATGCTGACCTCCTTCCTGTTAAACTGCTATACAACACATGGTACGTTGCTGTTGTAGTGTCCTAAGTAGCTAGGAAGAATTTAAATTAGAGCCAGACATTTGCAGAGCTGCTGAAGCATCACCCAAGTTCTCTGGAACCCAGTCTGAAGGCCCTTGTGTGGAGCTCATGCAGGGTTTAACTGATGATGAGCCAAATCCCGCTCACCACCTGTTTTTGTAAAGAAACTTTCATCAGAACACAGCCATGCCTACTGGTTTTGCACACAACAGCAGAGTCGAGTTGTTTCAACAGAGACCAAGGAGCTGAAAATATTTATCTGACCCTGGACTGAGGCAAATACCCGCAGCCTGCCCTTTCGTGGGAGAGACCAGCTCATATCCACCCGAGTGCTGGAGGCAGAGGCTGGTTTCACGGCCAAGGGTGGGCAGCATGGGCAGGCTCTGTGCCCATCTGCGGGGATCGTTAGGGCTGTAGAAAATCATAGGCACTAGTTGAGTACCGTGATGTTGAACGCAACAGATCCTTGGTATCAGAGGATTTCAGATTTCAGGTTTTGACCATTTCCAAGTGCCCCATGGCCCGTTATAATTTGAAATGTTGTTGACTCATAAAGTTGACTCGGGTATGCCCTCCTCAGCTGATGAGTGAGGGCAGGGAGCAGGACCCTTGGCTAGGGCTGAGCCCAGCTGGCTCTTCAGCACCTGCTTGGTGTGCCTTTGTGGTTCTCAGCTCGTCATTGCCCTCCTGGGCCTCTTGGGAAATGAAAAGTGCTGGTAGGTGGATGGGCTTTAGCTAAATATTGGTTTTGGATATAATGGAGCAGCCGATGTTGACTTCAGCACTCTGATCTAACAAGTCATCCGTATGCTCTCTGTGGAAGCAGGAACAAGTTCTTCATGAAGGCAGCTCCAGCAAGCGCTTTAGCTGGCCCAGAACTTACTGAACAAGCAAGAGCTAAAACTCCAGTGAAAGTCAAAACAGCAATTGTCTTGGGCTGTGCGGGTGTGAGCAACGCACATGCCCTCTTGGTGGAACTGTGGATCAGGAGAAATCTGGGACCCAGCGGCCAGAGGAGTTTACCCAGTCTCCAGGATCTGCTGCAAGAAAGGCAAATGCAGAAGTGGTCCCACCTATAGACATGACTGTTCCATCATGATACTCTTGTCTCTTAAGCCCAGACTTGGCCTCAGAATCCTTCTCAATCCAGCATTCCAGGAGCCTCTACTAGCAAGTTGGAGTTGGTACAGAAGATGGAACCCTATTTTGACATCCTTGTTGGTATGGGGTTCTGCTTTCCAGGGCCTCTGCAAGGCCCTGTTTATTCTCTGATGGCACGGTACCACTCAGAATCCGGGGGTCTCACCCTACTCGGGCAGGAGGGGTGGAGGGGTGGATGGAGGGGGGATGGCAGGCATCCTGGGGTTGGCCGCTTCCCCAGACTGGGTGCCTTTGAATGTAGGTCCCTGTTCTCTGGGTTTCACCAGCTCAAGGCAAAGCACGAAAACCCTTCCCATCAGTAGGTGGCGCTAGAGGCCAGCACTCCGCCATTGGCAAAAGTTCCTGATTTTCTTCACTGGTTAATTTTCTCTACTGTGGTACTTGGTGCTGTGCTGGACTCCCGCGGGTAGCTTGGCCTAAAAGCACTATAGGTGCTCTGAAAATTTCCTGTGTGACAAGCTGATTTCTCTTACCAGCAACCACTGTGACTGTGTGTGTGGACAGATTCATATGAGCATGTGCAACAGGATGAAAGCTGCGTGTGTCCATGTTTACATGGGTGTGTAACAGATCAGATATCTCTGTGACAACTCTGTGTGTGTGTGTGTGTGTGTGTGTGTGTGTGTGTGTACATGTACAGTGGACAGGATGGTTATCTCTGTTAACTAAGGATCCTGGGTCCCATATACTATGGCCAGCCCTGTTTCTTGGACTGCTTCTGGCCATTCCCATCATCTCATGGGCATTTGCACATGTGCAGCATGGGGGCCACTGAGGCCAAGTTCCATATCTTTCTTTCCAGCTTTCAGATTTGGCCAATAAAATCTTGGCTCCCACCCCTCTGCCTCCAAGCCCTACCTCCCGCAGCCTTGGAAAGGAAGTGGTAGAATCTGTGCTAGGATACCCCTTTTGTCTGCACCTGCCTCACCTTCTCCATTTGTTTCTTTCCTCCTACTGATAGTTCCAGGGCCAATGTGGGCAGTTGGGCAGATTGCATACTGCACAAATCCAGATAGAGTCATTCGTGCTATGACTTGAATGGAGCTTTCTAAACACCTGCAAAACCTGCCAACCTCCCATGGCTGTGCTGGTCATCTCATGATCATGGCTAGAAAAGTTACCTTCTTCCCTGCTCCCCTGGCCCAGCCCAGCCTAGGCTAGGATTCCTTACTCTGCTTGGGTGTTCTAGTCTGGCCCAAAAGTGACTAACCCTTGACCTTGATCTGGAAATATCTCCTTGATGCTGTTGAGATTGAATTTATGAAAGTGAAGTATGCTGGCAACTTTTCAGTAACCCATCTTCTCAGAGTTAGGGGTCCCTGTAAGACATACTGGGGTTCTATAGACTAGAGTTACTGCCTCCCACGCTCCTGGCCTGTGGGTGAAGATGCCTTCATGGGCCCACTGGTTAGATGGGTCTGCCACAGAATTAGGGGAAGGCCTCAGGCTAATCTTGGAGTTGCCACCATGTAGAAAATCATGAGGTCACCGCAGACTGGATGCCTGGGCCTGGTCCCAAACCCTGAAGCCTCCCAGGGCCAGGCGGGAAATGTGAGTGAGTGAAGAGATGAGGCCGGCCGGGTCTTTTGGGTAATGGAGCACACACATTTGCTCTTGGTCGGACACGGTTGCTGCCGTGTGGGAATGTGTGGGGCTGTTCCCAGATATCACACCCCATTTTTCAAGGGAAGCTAAAAATCCGGACTTTCAAATGTTGGCAACTATTTTGAATTTGGAAAGGATCATGTGGGCCAAACAAAACACATCTTGCAGGCCGAAGCCAGCCCTGGAGCCTCCTGTCTGCTCCCTCTGGCCCAGGCCCAGGGAACTGAGTTCTTCAGAACCGACTCACTAAGTGTGTGAGGATATTATCCTCAGGCTCACAGAGTCTGGGGTCTCTGAGAGACCTCAGAGATAGCCTAGTTCACCCCTGTGTGTTTTAAACTGTGTACATATAAAGTTCTTTATTAACACACATATCTTTAGCTTCTGGTATCTATCTAAAAGCATCTCAGTGCCCACCCCCTCGTGTAGAACAAGATCGAAAGTGAAGCCTTACATGTAGTCGTGCTTGTATCTACCTGTCAGAAGCCCTATTTATATCTTTATAGGTCTATTTATATCTTTTGCACACACGGGCTGCCCTGGTCTTCCTTACAACTAAACCTCCTTGGGTTGCTTTTTTAATCTCCTAAGTGCCTCCTTAAACAGTTAGAG